CATTTTAAGCTGGGAAAAATGCTTTATCACTGTGACTTTGGAAAGTGTGTAAACAGGCATTTCCTTGATATTCTACCTGACACGTGCCATGTATCGTGTTACATCCTGTACCAAAAAGAGCACGCCTATCAATGGCATGCGTAAACATGCACAGATCCTGCTGTTATCTTCATTTAGTTATCTTGCACAAAATTATGCAAAAACAGCATCAGTAAGAAAGGTGGTAGAGTAGAGTGGTGACCTCAAACAGACTCCACATCTGAATGTATGTGAAGTGACACAGAGTTAGGGTCCCGTGGCCCAAATCAGCCTGGCTCCAATCTGGACAAAGCTATCCAGTGGGATTCTAGAAAATGCCAAGGAGTGCATATATTTTGAACTACAGAAGTTTTAATGCTTTGCCTATTGTTACAGATCCACACCACCTAGTGTGATCCATAACATACCAAAGTACAATAACATTTTTTATGAGTTCATAAAAAGTTTATATAATAAATTTATAATTGCAACAAAGTCTGAGCAATAATCTACCAGAACCTTTTCTGTAACATTACATGTTTATAATGTAGTTTACTGGTCCAGCCCACTTCACATCAAAGTGGGCTGTATGCAGCCCACGATGTAAAATGAGTTTGACGTCCCTGCCATTTGGGAATCCCTGCCAAATGATCTCTACTAAAAACATGGACTGGATGTAAATACTGGAAATCTTCCAAATGGAAAAAACTAAATAAACATGTTCTTGTGTGTTACCTGTTTCAAATTGCAAAGTCACATCACATTTACCTCTAACAGTTCAACAAAAACTGCTTTGTATAGCAGCTCCGTTCATATATTCACACAGGATGTTGCCTAATGACGGCCTAAAGCAGTGGTCCACAGAGGCCCACTGGTGTATGAGGAATGTCCGAATGGGGGAGGTGGGTGGGTTTGTGCAAGCTACAGGTCTACATTATAATTATTAATTGACAAAATCAGTTCTTTGTATGCAACAATTTCCCCCCCAAAACTCTAAACTACCGCTAATACCAGAAGGAACCCAGGGGGTGTTATGAAATGACATATCAAACAGCAGTAAGGATAGCAAACGATTAATGAAACGCTTTCTGTGTGGAGCAAACCACAACTAACTACCAGGGCAGATGACCCCACCGCCTTAAAAAAATAACATAGCTATGGTAATAACGTATCAGTTTTATGGAGATGAAGCAGGATTGAGCGTAGTGCAATACAAACATACAAGAGCAACTCTGGCTGTTATTAAAGCTACATTTACAAAACATGTTGATAATAATAACAATTTAAAAAAATACTATAACGTGCCTGGCTATACTGTATGCTGACAGGCCATGGAAAATTATGAAATGCTGATGATCCAAAGGTAATCTTGTACACTGGATGAAACTTTTCACTGGCTGTCCAATTCTCTTGGTGATTGGTAGTTCCCTGCTCTCTTGGTGGGCAAGCTGCTGTTAGGGAACAAACAGCAGACCAAGAACACTCTCAGTCATGGATTGGCCTCCCCAGAGGGCGGTGCTCAACACTAATGAAGCAATGCAAGAAAACGGAGCAAAAGCCAGCCAACATTCACAAGGGTTGTGAAGAAGAAGCCTGGAGACCTTTTCCCAAAGACTACTTAAAGAAATGACAAGAAAGCTTGCCTAAGAGAGTCATTTAGGGATGTTTGCCACATTCACATTGTTTGCACCTGAGCCCATTTATTATTAAATGGGCATCCCAGAACATTTGGAACATTTGAGGAAGCTTTTCACAACATTTAGCTTTGTAGATTGAGTAGAGCTCTAAAATAACTGGCACTAGTGGCCTAATATTAACCCGAAGGAGACATTTATAAAGTCGTTACAGTAAACTGAAACTGGAAAAGAATTTGAGATGTAATTCTGTAGCCTTTGTGTAATTTAATTATAATGAACTCTCTTTTTAATTTTTTTCAATGATTTTAATTTTGTTATTTGTGCTACTTTGATATTATATATATACTTTGTAGTAGCCACAAAAATGTTGTTTAACCTGTTTTGTGCTTTAATTGATGCTTTGTTAAGCTATTCCGAATATGTCATTTCTGGTCTTCTAGTTTTTCCATTTCTATCAAATAAATCTTTTCAACTCTATTAACTGATACACTATTGTATTATTTGTATTCATTTTTCCTCTAAATGGGGAATTAACTGCATCATTTTGAGGTATGAAAATGCTTTGTCACTGTGACTATGGGGCTGCTGTGAAAATAGGCATTTCCAAGATATCATATAAAGTCTACGTGTATATATTATCATGCTTCTTTACAACTACATGAATGTACTATTGCTGTGTGATTTACTACTATTACTGAAGGTTACTCTCCATACCAATACCAACTAGATTTTTTAATCTTAATATAAAATGAGTAACAGTATGGTGGATATTAGGTAAGGCTGCGCTTTTGTGTACAAAACCCCCTCAATACTGTGTTGTATACTCTGACTGCTGTCAGGATGAAGGACCTATGATAGCGCTCAGTCCTACATTGTAGCTTTAACAGTCTACTGCTGAAGGAGCTGCTCAGGGTGAGAGTTGTTGTCCATAATGGACATTAGCTTGGCTAACATCCTCCTCTCATCCACCTCTTCTATGGAGTCAAAGTGTCATAAAAGGTCCTTGTAATGTTCTGCACCTCTCAAAAGGCTTCAGCTGACCAGCAGATGAAGACAACTTTGGCCCTTCCTGTACACAGGATAAGAGTTATGACCACTCCAGTTTACTGTTAAGATTTGTACGTATCTATCACTTCCAAAACTATCCAACCCGTGGATGTTACAGTTACAGGCCTACATTATCACTGCAATATACAGCTAAGCAAAAAGTTATGCCTTTTTGCTTAGCTGTATAGCAACATGAAACAACAGCAAGGATAAGAAGGGGCCTGCCAAATCAAATATGTGGAGCTAACTGCTGTGCTGACCTCTTGTGACTAAAGGAGTAGCTCAAAGTAGCTTTGATCTGATTGATCTGATCGCATGCTTAAACACCATAGAAGAGTACCTCTGGCTGTGATTAAAACCACATTTACAAAAGATCTTAATTAAAATTAGTTAAAAACACTATACTGTGATGTATGGTGACATAACATGAAACAAATTGAGCCTATCCAAGCTGTCTAAGGGCAAGAGCTGGGGTACACCCTGGACAGATCTAATGTGAAATATATTAAACTAACTAACTAACTAAATTAAAATTTCCAATTACATTTTTTGTAGTGGTGAACAATCTACAATCCACCGGAGGGAGCTGCAGTACAAGTAGCCTCCTTATTTCCCACTACACTGGAAAATAAAAACAAAAGAGCAAAAACAATGGAAGTTTCGCAAAACCTAGACTATATTGAACGAATACTAGCACAGTGCCCAATAAGTTAAGAAGCACTGCAGATGCAGACGGTGCTTTTATCTGTCAGTGCAGTTAAAAAAATGAAGTGAATACATTTGTGCCATAGAAAGTCAGACTTTAAATTAAAGGTGACATATCCGGGGCACCATAAAAAAAAAACATGTTTTAGCCTTTAAAAGCGTCCCCTGGTCTCTATGACTACATTTCTGCTCCCGCGAGATGTTGTTTTAAGCTGAGCTGAGTCCCCGGACGGCAGTTGCTATGGATACAGGAGTTGTCTTCACCTGTGGTGAAGTTTAAAACCAATTTGTTTACACGGACCCGACCAATTAACAGGTGAGAAATTTTCTCTTCAACTTAATCCCTCTTAAAGGGAACTTTTCGCTTAGGCTCAGAGAATAGTCTTTCGGTACGTACGTACGGTTTACGTACTGTAAACGTCGACTACAGACATCGTATTAAGGGCATTCTCTCTGGATTCATGGTTTGTTTATCATATCACGTCTTGCCTGACTTAGCTTCTCTGTGAAACAATAACGAAGGCACGGATCATTCTAAAGAACTTTGCTTTTACCTGTGTCAGATAAGAAGCGCAACACGACATAATAGTTTAAGCCTCAGCATTGATTCGATTATAATATCAACCTTTAACTTTCCAATGCCATAAATCAGAGATCATGGAGTCTGAGGATCAGCTGAACGAACTGCGGCTTCAGTTTCAAGCACTGCAAAAACAGCAGGAAAAAAGGAAACAGGAGAGGAAAAAGGAGAAACAGCCAGACAAGCTCAATGACAGTGGCGCTCAGGATGATTTGGATCTGTCTAACCAAGGTGTTCAGGCAAGCTGTGATGCTCCCCAAAACAGGTGAGACTTAAACTGCGAAATTAAATGTTTTTCAAGGTATTTTCCATAAATGTTGCTACATAAACCGCTATGAAGGAATATATATTCAAGACTGTAAATCTTTGTCACCTGCATGCAGTCATGTGAAAAACTAAGTGGCTTGCAGCAATAACTTCGAGTAATCATTTTCTGTATGTTGAATTTTGGCTCACTCTTCCATACAACAGTGCTTTTGTTCTTTGAGGTTTGCAGGGTAGGTCCCATGGCCTGATAAGTCAGGCTGAGGTCTGGACTTTGACTTGACAATTGCAACACATTCTTTTGTTGTTGTTCAGTCAGATTTGCTGCTGTGGTTGAGATCATTGCCCTGTCATTGCATGACCAAATTTCAACCAAGTTTTAGTTTTCAGACAGATGTTCTCACATTTGACTCTAGAATACTTTGGTACTGTATACAGAGAAGCTGATAGTTACTCAGTGACTGCAAAGCGCCCAGGTCCTGTGGCTGCAAAACAAGTCCAAATCACCACCCCTTCACCACAATGTCTAACAGTTGGTATGAGGCGTTTTTGTGCTGATATGCTGTGTTTGGTTTTCACCAAACATGTTGCTGTGCATTATGGTCAAACACATCCACTTTGGTGGACATTGTTCCAGAAGTTTTGTGGTTTGTTGAGATTCAACTCTGCAATGCCATGCCACGTTCTTTTTAGAGAGAAAAGGCTTTCTCTTGGCCTTTCCAAACAAGCCATACTTGTTCAGTCTTTTTCTAATTGCATTGTCATGAACTTCAACATTTAACATGCCAAGTGAGGCATGTAGATTCTGAGCGTTGCTAAGCTTGTCCTTGGGGTGAAATTGCTGGGACACCCACTTTTTGGAAGATTGTGGCACCTGAATGGTCCGGACCAGTAAACTGCCAAAATTTCTGCTTTTCATGGCGCTCACACTTTCTGATGATCAGTTAATTGGACATGGCTGCCACTAACCCATTTAAAGGTAACCACTAAGGGTGGACTCAATTGTTCACAGCACTGCATAGAATCCCACGAAAACTGTCATTTTCACATGGTTGTAAATAACCATTCTGTCATGTTACATTCATCCTTGTTCATTTTGTTTTCCATAGGCTGTTGCACATTCAGAATAAGGCCCTCCTTGACCAACTGAGAGAGCTAAAGGATGAAAATGGTCGGCTCTTCAAACTTCTGAGTGAGAAGGATTTTGAAATTAAGCACCTGAAGAGGAAAAGAGACGAAGAAAGACTGGCTTTAGCAGGTATAATGTAAATTGTTTTACTCTTTTTTTTTTTCTTTTTTTTTTTTGCATTGAGATGTTACAGACATGTGACAGCTTCTTCCTGCTTCATCTACTCATCTGTTTAGGTACTTCAGGCTTGGCAGGAGCTGTAGCTGCCACCAAGATTGTTGAGCTATCCAAGAAGAATAGAGAACTAACTGCTGAAATTGAGCAAGAGAAGATTAAATGTAAGCAAAACGGCAACAGAATCAAAGAGCTTGAGAGAGAGGTAAAGTTTTGCTTTATGTGTATCATTTGAAATAATTTGATGCATGAAAATTTGTCCTTCTCAGAAAAACTGTTGTGACTTTCTGTAGCTGCAGGCCATGCTGGTACATGGTGTACCTGGGCAAAAAGTCGATTCAAAGTCACCAGTTAAGATCTCATCTGAAGAATGTGAGGTAAGGAATAATAACAAAAGGAACATTTTTCTGTAGGGTCCTAACTAAAATAATGGCATCACTGAAAGGATCATTTATGACTTGTTTCTGAAAGCAGGAAAGTGCACTGGTTAAATCTCTGCAGGAAAAATTAGCAACTACCCAACTGAAGGTGACCGAGTACCGCAACCAGGTGCAGTCTGCCAAGCAAGAGTTGAAAATGGCACAGAAGGTAGGAGACTTACTTTATTTTCTGTCTTATATGCAATCACTCAAGAAGAATATTTTATATCTGACTGATTTTTCACAAGTGACTTATAGATTCTAAAATATGAACTACTTCAGGTTCTGATTAGTGAGATTGGAGAGGAGGTCAACCTTCAGCAATTACTAAGCTGCCCTGGGAGCTTTAGAGGTCGAGCACAGCAGATACTGGCTCTGCAGACAAGGGTAGGTTCAAAATTGAAGTTTGATTTTACATAAATGTATTTTAAAGTTAGAACATTATAGCCAACAAAGTCCTTTTTAAAATAGTGAGTTCACAGGAAAGCATAAAAAAAAACCCTGAAATTGAACTGATGATGAACAAAACTTGAACAACAGGTACGAGAGCTTGAGCAGCAGCTGAACAAATCAACACAACAAAGGCAGTCAAGTGTTCTGAGTGGAGAGGAAGAGTTTCTGGGCATGGGTTTTCTTCAGAAAACTCCTCGTCAGGAAAGAAATGTCAACTACATCCGCACTATCGAGAAAGAGAAGAGGGTAGCCCTTGAGGTATGTATAGCCACAACCGCAGAGGCCTGCAGACCAACCATCAATTGCTTGGCGAAAGTGTTTTGTTTTTTGGTTTTTTGTTTTTTTTTTACCAATGCCAGCCACTTATTAAATGAAAATTTGAATTTCAGAGATATATCAAAAGTTCTTATTTCAAACTGACTATGAGAAATGGGTCCATGCATTTATATTAAGCAGGTTAAACCACTGTATTACTGTAAGAGAGTCCTTACACATATGCTGCAAGTTCAACATTTTATTAGCACTCAAGGACCGAAGTCACAACAGTGGCTCCAAGTTCAATGCAGAATTACATTTAAAACCCTTCTATTAGTTCATAAACCTCTCAATGGCTTGGCACCCCCAGTACATCTCTGACTTGCACTGCGCAGCCTCTTTAACCCAATTAGACCTCTCAGGTCAGCAGGTGCAGATCTTTTAGCTATTCCCAAAATTAGATTTAAGTGTGCTCAGGTGCTTCAGTTACTGTGGTCCTGTTGTTTGGAACAAGCATCCCACTGACTTGAGGTCAATTACAACTGTGTCTACATGCAAAAACAGACTGTTAAACAGACAGAGACTGGTGTCTCTGTCTGTTTAACTTGGACTTAGGCAATGATTTTAAATGAACATAGACATTACATTGTTAATGTGCTAAGGCCCTTCTCTCCTTCCACAACTGTGTAGAAGCTCTCAGTGGATTATGAGGCGCTCTTGAAAGAACACAAAGATGTGAAGCAAAAGCTGGAAGCCTCTAAAGCCAGGAACAAAACTCTATCTGCTGAAGTCAAAACTCTGAAGCATCAAATATCAACGCTGATGGAGAAGGGGAAACACGATGATGACTTCGTGGCTGCTTTGATGGTAAGAAATTAGACTGGAGACAAATATCTGGTTAGAGTCGTATAGATTCTACCTTTTAATAAATGTGTATATATTAATAAGAAAGTAGGTATTGTAAGACTTTAAATAAGGTATCTCATGCATGATTACACCATTAATAGTTTTGTTAAATACCATGGCAGTTAGTACCAATTTCACTTGACATTTATGAGTTGAAGTCAACATACTGCAAAGCAGAGGATATCCTGTGATGTGTCCATGCTTTACTATTACTGTTCCTATAAAGTTTGTATCTTTTCTACCTCTGGCAGAAGCAGCAGGCCCAGATGCAGATGGTATTAAAACAACTCAGCCAAAAGCAAAACGTACAGAGCAAGGTGATGCAGCAGAGTGTAGGACAACAGCTGAGCAACATACCTTCAGAGCACAGTGCTATCATCCAGAGATTTAAAGAGATACTTGCTGAGAAAGATGCCATTATCAAAAAACTACAGAAAAAACAGCAATTCTCTGATAAGGTAATCAAGAAATAATTACCAGGGTTTTTCTTTGTTTTTTTGTTTTTTTTGTGCATTCTCCGAAATTCAGCATGAGATGTCTGTCCAGCAATTAAACGTGTGTTTATAGGTGTTGAAGAACGATGATGTGCACAGACAGCCCAGCATCAGGATAACAAACTGTACTTCTGCTGTTTCCCCAGAAGAGGGAGACATTACCAAAAGAATTCCATCTTCAGGGTACTTGTGCTGGTTTAATATCTGATAATCATTAAAATATGCTTATTGTTAGTTTAGCTGTGGGATATGGATCCATTGCACGTGGTGAGAAATAAAATATTTAAGCAAAAAATTACTTTAGTAAAATTAAGCTGGGAACCTTTTTTTTAGGTTTGAGAAAGAATTATGACGTGTTGAGTAAGAACTGTTTTAGCTTCATACAACTTTGAGAAACCCTGATTTACCTCTTCAGGACAGATAATTTTTGTTCATCTCGTCTTCTGTTTTGCACTTGAAACCAGCCTCTGAGGCTAAGTGTCACACGTAGCACTGATATCTCTCGTCTTGTCTAGAAACATAAGGCTAAATAATTACCTAAGGTTAACGTTGGGGTGCACTGTTATCGGCGTATTGATGACTGTGATGTTAAACACTTCTGTATTCCTGTGGGATTTCTGTTTACCGCCTTCAAATGTTTTGTTTTTCAGTTCAATTTCTAAATTCGGTCACAAACTGGTGCTGCCAGCTGTGGGAAGTGGCATAGAATTCACGTAAGTTTAATGTGTACCATGTCTGCTCTGTACTGACATGGGCATCACTATGAAATTAGTAAACAAAATTCCTGACTGTGACATGAGCACAGTGATAACCCAAGTCCTCTTTGTGGAGAAGGACTAACAAGCTTGAGAGGTCTGTAGAATATACTGCAGATGTTCTTTTGTAGTTGTTGTTTTGTTTTGTTTTTCCAATCTATCGCTCACAGTGTAATTCTGTCAGTGGGACAGGGTTGTGAAATGCACATCTTTGTGTAAAAGTATAGATCAAAAAAATACCACTTCACCTGAAGGCTTAAAACAGTTTTGATTGATTCCTCCAAAATACCCAGACAAAAAAAATAGATAAAAACATCGAGCAAGCAGCACAGGTCACAAAATGTCTCCAAAAGCGAGATTGTTTTCATTTTCTTACAGAGGATCCAGATTGCTGTAGCTAACAGCTCTCCAGCTTGATCTGGAACGGCATCTTTATGCCACTGCTGCTGGCTTTCTTACTCGTCGAAGATGGTGATGAAGGAGTGCTTTATTGGTGAAAAAAGGCCACTTGAGTCGATACCCATGCGCTGGTTGTTGGGGTTTTTTTTGCCAAATGAAGTGGTCGGATAATTCACACAAATGTTCTTTCTTCACATTTCAAGTTTGCACGTTTGCGTACTGCACAAAGCTAAAGTAGCCACTTTTATTTTCTTGTCAGTGTAAAAATTAAATGCTATAATGCTGCACAACTAAAATGTTAAATCAGTTTGTATATTTCCATCCCAAGATTACAAACACAGGGAGGCTATTTCTGTTGGTGTTTGTTCATTTTATTTATGCAGTGCACACCACAGTAATGACTGTGGTGTCGACTAATGAGAGCGTGGTGGTTTATTTTACAGTTTTAACGTCAGAAATTTAATGGTGCAAAAATGAAACTTTTATATAAAATTACCCAGACAAGCTATTAGCTTGATAAATATGTGTAAGTATAATCTATATTTGTCACTCCAAAGCTGTGTCTATTAAGAAGAATTCCGTTGCATTAACTCTAATGCAATCCAACATTTGTCTGAATCTTCTAGAGAGAAAGTGATGAGCCACACATGTTTGGAGGCACAAGCACCAAGAGGAGCACCGCAGGCCAGTGATCCTGGAGGAGTTTGAGAGGCCAAAATTAGATTAAAGTAAACACTGTGCATGCAGCATGGCTAGGACTGATATGTCAAGGTTCAGTGACAGCATGATGTGACAATATCAGGATTTTCTTCTTCTTGTCTTTTTTTTTTTTTTCTTTTCAATTTCCCCCTTATCTTTCTTGCTCGTGGCTATCACAGCTCTGTCGGCAGGAGCAGAGTCCCTGAGCACCATGGAGTTTCTGAGCAACAGGAACTGTCCACAGACAAACCTGAACAGACTGTCCAACATTCCAGCATTTGTAAACACTTTATTTCTTTGACAACACTGCCTTAAACTGGTTCTGGTTCAGGAGTTTTCTTTCTCCAACCATAAGATTTAACCAGACGACAGAAATAATGATGTGCGGCGGTAGACACGCTGCAGACAGCAGTGCTCATTCTGCCCGTCACATCGAGGTTGCACGGAGATGTTCATGTTGTTCTTGTATGTTGTCTCTTGGCTGGTCATTCAGCTGGAGGAAACGCGGGCGCTGAGGGCATCCCTAAAGAGCACTCTCCACCATGACCTGCAGCTTTCAGTGACGTGATGAGACAAGTCAGGCATGTTTTCCTGGAGGCTCTGTGACAGCACAGACAAGACACTAACCAGGGGAACTGGCTGGTCCCTGCTCAGCCTCACTTCCAGCTGAGCCCTACCTTCTCCTGTCACATGTGACAAAACAACAGCCTGCAGGAGAAAGAAAAAAAAAACTCTCCTCTTCAGCCACACAAACATTATATGCATCTCTGACTTTCTCTCCATTTGAGTCCCCGAAAGACAGTTTGCAACGTAAGGTCGGGTGACCTCGGTTTAACGACTTAAGTACCTTGAGTAAAATAGCTTTCAACTTAACCCTGATGGCATCAGACAAGTGTCCCGGGTGATTGCAGGAGCGGTCGGTGCTGATAAGACGTCTCCCCGTGGTTTTACATCTCGTCTGCTCACTGTTTTATAAATGTCACTGTCACATTTTATTAAATATATGTTTGTCTTTCCTCGGTTGGTAACCTTAAATGCATTACAGGTATCGAGACCAATGCTGTCTGTTTTCAAAGTAAATATTTTCTGTAAACCAAAGAAACATCCAAATTAATCAGTGAAAAGGAACCGAACCCTCAACAAATATTTTCAATACATTGTTTACCTTCATGGCGATGACTTTGGTTGATTTTTTTCTTTCTTTTTTTAAGGTTTTTTTTGGCTCCATACAGTTGTAAATAAATGTGCGACAGGCCAGGCTAAATAGTAATCACCACAGTTAAGTTCCCAAATCGTTTCAATATTCCTATTAAATATTAACACTAATCATTTCTGACTTGAAACCAGTTTTGTGGGAATAGTGGTTGAAAATAACTGCAAACTCAAGCTGCACAAACTCCCACTGTAGTCCTCTATACATTCCCCAGAGCAGGTCACACATGTACAGTATATGGCTCTTAATCCAAAGGTTGTCTGGATATGCCCAGCGGGAGTGGCCCTTACATTCATACTAACATCCGAGTTATTTTCTTCCGATGTAGCCAAAAGGGTTTCAGCAGAACATCCCCCCCCTTTCCTCCCTCTCCACATCACGCTTAATTTAAAACCATGGCTGAGTTAGTGTGCTGCTTCAAATACCGCACTATGTCTTCCAGGACCCTGTGGGAGATTGGCAGGTCCCCATTGGACTGAGCGAGAAAGTGCCACAAGACAAAAATATCAGAGTTTGGACATGATGAAGAAAGCCTTTATGCTCAGAGTAACAAAAAACAGCTTGTGTTTGAATACCTCCTGGATGGAAGGTGAGGCGCTCTTTAATGCAACAGAGTGAGACGTGTCACCGTAAGAGCAAGATGAGAGACGAGCAGATGAAGATTGCCAGATACGTATCAAGTGAGGAAATGTGCGTCAGAAAGGGTGTTGATGGAGCAAATGCTTGTCACGGTCCCTAACTGCGTCTGATTGCCAGGAAAGCGTTCAACTTCATGTGGTTTTTTTGGGGGGTCATTTTCGAACTTTGCCACAAAACTGTACTTTATATGAAGCCAACGTTTGAGCATTTTCTCAAACCTGTAATCGTATATAATTTTAACGCAGTGCATGACTGCAAGAGGGACATCATTTCCATCCTTTTTCAGTGAGCTTTTCTTTTTCAGACATGTTATACTGAAGTTTCAGTTGACCTAATATCAGGGATTAATGTGACTGCTCATGTTGACTTCAGTTATTTAAGAGTGTCATCACTTTCAAATAAATTACACCTTGCCAGACAATTTTATTATTGTTTTATGTAGCTGTATTACGCAGAAAGGTGTAGATTTATTCCAAAATGCCCAATAACCCACCAAACCAAACACAAACTTATGTAAACACAGCATACGTAAACAGCCTCACCTATTTGTCATTCCAAGTTTGAATGACTCCTTTCTCCATCCTTCTCCTCAGAGGTATTCCCTCGTTCTGGACCAATGCTTCCTGCAGACCATTGACTGCATCCAGAAACTAAAGTAAATAGTGCAGCTGTGAACGCAGAGGTTAAAGTTAGCCATCAGTATATGAGGGATCTGTGAACTTTGCTCAGGCCAGAAAACGGTTTGGACCTCTATGCGTCCATTCATCTCCCAGTCCCTCTCATTTACATGTAATGGAAAGAAAATAAACAGCAGGGTCCTAATGTGCTCATTTACAGTAAGTAGAATTAAAGTAATGAGTTTTTATCTTTTCCAGGTGCCGGTGAGGGAGGGGGTAAAAATCAAAATGTACGGGGTGAGTTAACGACACTGAAACTGATTTTAAAAATCAGGTGCGGAGGTGTTCACTACAGGCTCGTGAGCAGATCACCTCAGCATGATACTCATCTGTGCCTCTTGCACCCATATTTCAAACTTTTTGAGTCTTTTTTATGTTCATTTTCTAAACTCCTTCCTTTGCTTACACTTCGTTTATGTACAGTGCAGTGAGTCAATACTGCGTGAGCCCTGTAGTAATTTCAGTTTGCTCAGATATGTTTAAATACAAGTAGCATCACTAGATGGCAGTGTGGTCAGTTAAGTACAGTACTTGATGGCGACTCCTATGTTTTGATCTGAAGCCAAAAATGAAATTAAATGGATCCTGCAGGATTTATGTGACACTAACAGCAAATATGTGCATTATCAGTTCATAGAGCAGAGTTTAATTGCCGTTATTGTGACACAGTTGTCATTTAATCATTGATTTTTCCAGCTTTTGGAGTTGATAAAAAGAATGAACACAGTTATAATACAGAATTATTAATACTGGAGACTAAACCAGCTGTGATGTTTTGGTTGAGATACTTGAGAGGACAACACAGTGATTCTGGATCGGGGGACTGCTTACAAAAATGCTGTCTTATGAAAAAATGTAGCTCTTCACAATCTGTGCTCAAAGTGCTCTGTCATTGAAGGCTGCGTTCCCCCCCTCCCCAGTCGCTTTAGTAACCCAGTGTTGTCCTCGACTCATGGCTCTTCTACATCTAATCCTCCCGGCAATTTTCTCACTCTAAATTGAATTTCTCACCATGTTGTATCAAACTTGGAAATAATCAATTTCTTCTGGAACCACTCCACCTTATATCCGATGATGGTCATGGGGAATAAAAAAGGGATAAAAAAGCTTCTTGGTTTCATTCAGTATTATTTGCCCAACTGCTTTTGAACACGCTTGTTTCGTCATATGTATGCATCACCACTGGTGCAGATATCCTTTATATTCCTGCAAGCAGACTTTCCGCCTGATTGCAGCTGCGTGGCAGGAGGTCCTTTAACAAGCAAAAATTGTTTAATAAGTCCCTTAACGAATGCTTCCATGTTAGAGTTGACATTTTGCTCACAGATATGATCACGGTTAATGAGATCTGCAGCCTTCTGGAGATGTGTGCGAGAGCATCACTGATAACAAGGGTGTGATATTTTTTTCTAGTTTTACCTTTGTCTGAACATTTTAAAGAAAGAGAAGAGAGATGGAAATAATTGGGGGAGACAAAGGGGAATGACACACCAGCTGAGATGCTGTGAAGCCCCAGGAGGCCAGTTGCTCACAGAAATGCTGTCTGTGTATGTTTTCTGAATATAAATGTATGAATATTTGTTTTGACACAACGGTCACATCCACTAATTAACACTTAACAGGTCCTCAAGGTGTCTGTGCAAAATCATATACTGTAGCATTATGTAGGCGTGTAAGGGTGGAAAGTGGTTGAATATTCTCAGGCAAGACAACAGATACTCTCTAACTCTTTTCAGCTAATCATTCTGATTATGACTTCATATTGAATTAGTAAAACACCACCCTGTGTGTTGTACTACTAACAGTTGCTTTATTTTAAAAAGCTGACACTTTTTAAGAAGCCTGATACATAATAAATACATAAATATATATATATACATATATATATGTGTGTGTGTGTCTGTGTGTGTCTGTGTGTGTTTTACCATTGTTGTTTTCTACTACCATAGCATAATGTCTCTGGGCATGTTTCCTCTTTTGCACTGAATCTAGTTCAGCACATAGCCATTGGATGAAAATGTCAAACATTTTGGGAGACCTTTTGACTCCCTGCATAATAATCAGATGAGCCATTTGACCTTTTCTGAGGCATGAACATGCAACAAGTCATTATTATCATGTTTTTGACCAACACGAAGAAAGCAAAAACAAATCAACGTCAAACAGTAAATAAAATGGGCAAGTGAATTAATTTTGGTGAAAATATCTGTTTGTCTTCTGCAGCATATCTGGGTAGCAGGGGCAGTTTAAGCTGAGATTCCCAGACCTCCTTCTCCCCAGCCCTCTACGTCCTCCAGCTCTTCTTGGAGGACGTAGAGGACAGCTGAGAGATATAATTTCTTCTGGGTCTGCCCTGGGTCGCATCCCAGTTGAGCATGCCTGAACTGCACTGACTCAATGTGGTGGAGATGTGGCTCTATTCTGAGCCCCTCCCAAATGATCGAGCCCCTTACCCTAAAAGAGAGCCCAGCCACCCTTGGACGAAGCTCATTTCCGCCACTTGTGTCTATGATCTAAT